GAGAGAGAGGGATTTAGGTTTGATGAATCAATGTACGCACACAAAGCAGGATAAAAGATTGAATTGAAACTAGCGCTAACGGTATATAGCAACTACAGGAATTCAGGGTAGACTGAGGAAAGAAGAAGTATATGGAAGACGCTACAAGGTAATGGACAGAGGAAGCTCCTAATGCAGAGTGAATATATATTAAAAGAAAGCTAAGGGATGCGATAGTAGACAACTGAGTAAATTCATTAATCAAAATGTAACACATAAGTGATTGTTTTGGCAGAGCACAGGATTAACACGAAACAGAAATGTAAGCTATTCTTTCATGCTCACAATGTGACAGAAATTTAATTCGAATATCCACACATAGGACTATGAAGGTCTTAACTACTGAGATATAATGATATTTTTGGTCGTAGCAACAGTTCACATTTTTGTTCATTAAATGATATCTTGATAGAGTTCATCTATTTCTAAACTGTGTTCGATACTAGTATTAACCACACTACAGAAAAGAGTTTATAGGATAAAACACACACTGTTCGTCGTACCAGCAGCAGATAGAATCATATGCTTGAAGCTAAGATACGAGAAGAGATGACCATCTAGTAAAATAGATGTTCTTCACACACTTCATGAACCGAGTTATGTACCTTCTCTTTGTTACATCACAGCAGAGGATAGTGATATATATCTTACCACACATGAATAACCGACACGAGGCAGATTATATAGCGCATATGGAGCTTACAGACCAAATGTATGCGGCACTCAGCTGAGCACCTCCTACACAAAACTTTGTTTTTAATTTAATCAATGTTGTTTGAGAGGCTGTGAAAGTATCCCACTCAGTTGGACTCTCGAATTAGTGGGACATTGGCACGATATTATAATTTTTAACTGTGGTCACATGCTCAGTAAGGGATTTATGGACAACCAGTATTATGACGCCAACATTTGTGACCGCCTTAAGGAGATTGGCTCGCATAGTCTAGGGAAGTGTAAAGAAGGTATAATTTCAATTAGGTTTGTCAAGAGGGACAATAAGAATCATTTTTTTATTTAGTGAGTTTGGTAACTTTTTTCTTTTTCTTTACTGGGTAATGGAACCCGTTATCTACTTTGGTGTTATGACAATTAATTGCAATCTCTCTATTAAAATGAACAAATCGTATTAGCATAAAATATGGAATATAGTATGTAGTTAGGCAGACTTCAATCTCAGATAGTGGTGGCCTATATAAATGCATAGTGTCTGTTTCAAAAATTATTAACTTCTTTCTCAGAAATCATTGCTCTCTCCAACATGGTTCTTCTCCGGACTCTATTTAAAGCGAAGATTTATTAAAAAACGAATATTAATGGAATATTTAATTTTTTATGCTGTGGATTTAGAGAGGATTCTCCTCTAGGTACATTTTGAAGTATATTCTAAGGCTCTTCTCTACTGAGAGGCTACAAGGTTTTGGATTCATTTGATATACTGCAGTGTGTAGTTCTCTGATTAGTGTTTATTACAGAAAAAAAATTTCACAAAGGTTGTGAATATCAAACGATTCGATGCATATATTTAAAACGCACAGATTTAGAGGAAAATATGAACACTTCCTTGTACATTGTAGCAATCGCTCAACAAAATGAAGTTAATCATAGTGTTAAGCACTCACCCATTGGTGTACCTGCTAGAAATTGCGACTTACTTATTCTTTAGCAAGAATTTTACTTACTATGTTTAATTATTAGCATGCTACATAATTAAATTATGGCATCCAGTGAGTTAAATAATAACTGTCAAGATTAGAGGTTTGTTATGCCATTCTGGTAGATTCACGACGATGAAGTACTATACTATATTGAATTCAAGGTCTCCTTCGTAGTGGTTGATGGTGGTGGATGGTTTGTTGGGAGGTCTGAGAAAGATTTGAAATTCGATTGATTTCATATTAGACCTTGTGCTTATATGTCCTTAGATAAGATGACATGTGAAATTAGTTATTTGATTTTAGTACATCTTTTGCAATAATCAGCAGCTATAGTTGCTCTAAGGTTGGATCATGTTGCATGAGAGAAACTGGTTTATGCTAGAAATTAGGGGAATCTGCACCTAATCACAACCAAGACCAATCTTGATATTGAACTCTATGATGTGTTATATCTAACTTACCGAGTTCGCATGATAAATTATTCAGTTCTTCAGTCATTCTATTTCCACAAGTGTTATTGAAGGAAATAGCTTACACCTTCACCTTTCTTTCTTTCACATTCAACACTACTGGTTAGACTATCTCATATATAAATTTATAAAAAACTATAGAGAGATAAGCTAAGATTCAGTGTTAGAAATTTGAATATTCTTCTCAAAAGTGATTAAGCCTGGGACGATTGCAACACGTTTTTACTAATTCTATTTTATACCTTGGCATCATGCTGTAAATCGCTATGGGTATATCAAAGAGGTAGAAGTGCTGTTCAGGCAAAATTTTTTAAAAATATATTAACGTTTACACCGTGGCCGTTTGCACAGCAACACAAGACTGTGAATTTAACATTGTAGCTTTAAAGAGTTTAACATTAAAGCTTTGGAGGATGAGTCGGAGTAATGTCAGTTCACTCGGTTAACATCGTTACATGTACACCAATATGTTGTCAATGGTGATTCATAGATTTGTGGTAGAAGAGAAGAAAATAAATGAGAAGTGATCATAGCAAATGTCTCTACTCTATTTGATCACTGATATCATATATGCAAGCGTGTTGCTGCTTATGTAATGAAATCTTCATGTGGACGAGAGTACGAGATGAGGTGTACTGTGTGAGAATATGTCTTATTCTACAGTATACTGTCATAGATTTTTTGCCAACTCTTTTGGTGTTTCCTCCACTCTTATTGGGTAAAGTAATTCTAAAATACATGTTTGCAACATGGCTTTCATCTCAAAAATTCTTGAAAGGGTGTTGTCGAACAGCTAACAGATCATCTGCAAAGGCTTATTTGAAGAGTTTCAGTCAGGTTTCAGAGCTCATCACAGCATAGAAACAGCTTTAGTGAAGGTTACAAATGAGGCAGTATCATCAGTAGGCATGGCAAACATTTTCAGTGCTATGCAGATGACATACAGCCAGTGTTGGGAAGGTTACTTTTAAAATGTATTCCATTACAGAATACAGAATTACATGCCCCAAAATGTATTCTGTAACGTATTCCGTTACGTTACTCAATGACAGTAACATATTCTGAATACTTTGGATTACTTAATATATTATCATGCTTTTTACAACAACGATTGGAATGACTATTGCGGTAAACCACGATTACTACAGGGAAAAAATGGTTACATTGTAACCTTTTTGATCTGTGTGATGAATATATCTTTGTGTTATAAATACGTGGAGGGGATATGAATATTATCACTGCTTGTGTTGTATACAAATATCAAAGCGATAGAGATACTCATTTACTATTACTTTTCACAATCTTTAAATGTTAAAACTGTCTGCTCGATACTTTACCTATTACTTCTTGAACTGGTGACGGTTCCAGATGCTTGGCGACTCTGTTAAACATTGGGGATTTTTTTCACCTGTAGCTGCTAAAAAAATACTTTGTGTCCTTTACGTTCCTTTTTGGTGACCTAGACTGTAACGTAAGGAAGAGTATTGTGTGAGACCTGTTCTGTGAACTTGATACGTTATTCAGAGAAGATCCATTCGTACTGGCCTTCTTGGGCACCGAGACAAAATAAGCTTTACCCCTAATTTTGGAACGCAAGGGAGTGTAGTAGTGTAAGAGATGGAGATCACACTTAGTGGAGTTCATCTTTGCGAAAGAAGACTATTCGAGATGAGCGTGTGTGGTCAAGGACATGCTGGAGCATACCAGAACGGGAATCTATAGTTTGTCTTGTTTCTCGGTGTATAGAGGAAGACATATTTTGACGCATTAATTAATACAAACACCTTCGACGTATATGTTCCATATGTGCAACGATTCGAGGCAATCACTAATAATATTAAGCTATTATTCCATTTATCAAAATTTAGGCACCATAGGAGAGTTCCATAGGTGTGTCAGGTGCTCTCTCACGGTTGGGTTGCTTGCTCATAATAAGAGGGTGTCGCGTGGTGTACATTTACTTTACAAAAAATAGTTTTAGACCAATGCTATACCATATGACTTCTAATATTATATACCGTATTTTTTCGCCTATTGACGATGCCTAAGACACTCCGTACCTTTCCATCCACCCTCTTTATACTCTCACCATCCACATACCAAGGCTAAACAGGACTAATGCTCACCATGCTGACGCCCATATACGATGATATGTCCTGTATGTCATTACACATATCTTCTCCGTGCAACACAGGTGATAATTCATCTCTGCTCTTATAGTGCACTCGCTCATTTCAAATTTATTTCTTCACGAGCTCCACTAGCTTGGTAGGTCGGAACATCTGATCATAGTCTAACGGCATTTCTTTTCTATTAGCACAACAACAACACGATAAGAGCGGCTCTCATACTGGAACCTTACTCTACGTGGGGATCACGATAAGCTGGGGCAGTCACAACACTGAAAGAGATTGGACAGCAACTTGGGTTGTTGTTGGGTCTGTCGCACAGGAAGCCCTCCCACCTTGTGTTGACAGTATCACCATCTTTACCATAAACGGATATTCTGTTGATAGCTGACACAACACTAACATTTGACACACTGTGTTGCCACAGAAGCCACAGTGAGTATATTGAAAAATTGCAACAGTGTATTCATATCTATAATGAGGCATGAGGCAAAGCAAATAGACCCGGGCTTCACTATTTTTAGAAAAAAACTGCTACCCTTTAAAATAGACATGATGATGTGAAGTGACAGACGTTTTACTCTCAGATGAAGAATGGAGATAATTAACAACACAAACCATGAGGGTGAGATGTTTGCAAGTTTCTATAAACAGCCATCTTTTCACCAATTAGACATTTATTGTTTATACAAAAGGAATGAAATGTGCTAATAACAACAAAAATGTTTCATTGTATTTTATATAAATGCCAATTTTTCCAAAGGAATTAAAAGGCACACTGAAGACTAGCATTCCCTTTACTTTTAGTTTTGTATTGCACAGTAAAAGTTATCCGGATCCATGTCAGTAATTCGTTGACTGGCACCTCTCTGCAACCAGCTCGCTGCTGCCAGCTCTGTTTGGAGACACAATCAATTTCAAAACAGTTGTTTGGTTATTTTTAAATAACAACAGAGCTATATTGGAAATATTGGAAACTATATTTGAACCAACTAATAATTTCAAATTTTTTGCCAACTATGACAAATTAAGGCTTCAAATTTAAAACAGTGTTATCTAACTGTTTTAAATCTGATAAACTGAGGGGACTCATCAACATATTTTTCTGTCAGTTTCTTGTGTGGTTTTTTTTTTTCTGAGATCCACAAAACAAAGCTCAAAATAACATGAAACAACATGAAACACACACGGTGTGTTTAAAAGAAATATAAATCAAAAAGAAAAAAAATATATAACATCACTGTCAGAAATCCCCCAAAAGCACCAAAACTAAGATGCATTTTAGTTGTTCTCAAAACATAGTGGTGAGCATAAAGGATGTTAAATCTTTTCAGTGTCAGTTACCTTTCACATTGCTGGGTTTTCTGACTATAGAATACGTCTCCTGGACTGATTCAAGTGCATGGTCCTCTGCAGGCATATAACAACAAAGCATCATAAGAATGATTTTTCTTTTCATTACATTTAAATGTAAATTGTCCTCACTTATTTCCGGCTGTGAAAATGTGATGTGTGGACTTCTGGAAGATGTTACTTTTTATATGATAGCATATTTCTCTTCCACTAGGCCTTTTAAGCAATTACGGGTATTATAACTTCAATGTTTTCCAGTTTAGGCAAATTACCTTTTGGCATTTTTGGTTTTGTGATGAGGGAATATGTCGCATTGTTTTGTTCAGCTCTGCTTACCACTGCAGGCACTGAAATATAAAGATAAGCCAAACCTTAAACAAAGTATAAAGATATGGGCAGACAATTTAGTTACATTTTTTTAAATCTCTCATTCTAGACACTTTCTCTATATGATAACCATCTCAAAGTAAAGATAGTAAAATGAAAGAGAAATGACAAAACAAGAGTGATGGTTAAAATGTTGTGTTGTTGTTTTTGGTCAACAAGTTACTACTAAATTAAATTATATTACTTAATTATATCTTAGGACCCTGATAGTTCGTATTTATATTAGTTATTACAATGTCACTGTCTTTCCTAGCAACCAGTAGAGTGGCACATATTTATAGGATATATGCTTCTACCACATGAAAACACAACAGAATTTGTTTCATAACAGTAACATGCAATTTATATACAAAAAATGATAACAGCATGTTGCCTAATAAAAATAATTGACCAATCTTGCTTGTGCAGTAAGGCTATACTGGGAAATGGTAAACCCTTTTTTTGCAGAGGGGAAGGTAGATCTAGCTCTCGTGCTCCCCGTGTCTCATGAAAATGTGACAAAATGTTAAGAGTAGATATAGAGACACATTTTATGTCAAGGAAAATAAGTTGTCTGGAGAAACACACCAGTCGAAATACTTCAAACTTTTATACTTTCTATTTCAGTCAACTGAATACATTTTTAGTCTCCTAAAGTCTTATGATATTTAGTCGACTAAAACTATGAATTTAGTTGACTAAATTATGACTAAAACAAGATGATGTTTTATTCAACAATTTTAATCAAAGGTCTGCTCTAATCAAAGGTATTAATCATATTCAGTCAACTAAGACAAGATTAAAATTCAAAAGATTTAGATGCCTAAATTTTGTTTTATCCACAAAAAAAATAAAATTAAACTAAATTAAAAGCTAAATGAAACATTTGATATCAAAATTAACACTAAAAAAACTGCTGAGGGACTAAAATCACAAACCAAACAATACAATAGCAGGTGCATGTCCTAGGGTATACGGTTTACTAAAGGACTGTGTTTCTAATTTCCATGATCCTGTAGATTTGAAGTTCATGTTTTATATTCCTAAACAAATGTTGGCCTTCCTGACCTGTTTGTGCAGAAGAGGGAGACCGGAAGGAGGCAGTAGAATTTTGAGCACCTTCTTATAAAAAAGAAAAAATAAACAAGAAAAAAAATATTATTATTAATATCCACCAGGAATCACTAAGCATGCTTATTGTTATAAAATAAAAAGATAAAATAAATAAAGATAAAATAAAAAGACATGCTTTGATTAGCATACTGTCAACATACCTGGTGTCAAAGAAGTTTCTTCTGCGTGATTTCTGATGGTTTGTTGATGTTTATTACATTGAAACACTCCTACCAATATTAGCAGAATGACCACCAATAAAACACCCAAACCAATGCAGAGCACCAGGTAGATCTCTAAGTAAGGCACTGTAGGATGACCTGCAAGAAAGATAATTGCAATGTGCATTAGAAAGGATTAAAATGTTATATATATATATATATGAAGAGTTTACATGGACAAGAAGCATGAACATAACCTGAACAGAATCGTGAAAGCCTTAAACTTGACGTGTTTTG